TTCCCTTTCCATATTCCATGCACTCACATTGGTGGAGGTGAGGGGCACCTTTGATTGTCCCTGGGGAGTGCTTGGATTTGGGATTTCAGTTTAGATCTAACTTTTGCATTGTCTAAATCTAGCTTTTTCCATTTCCTTTCTTTTGTTCTTTCCTTTCAGGATTTTGGTTTAGATCTAGCTTTTTGCATTATCTAGATCTACCATTTCTTTCCAGCTTTTTATCATTTCTCTTCTTTTGCTCTTTCTTTTTCATTCATCTTCATGGCTGATCCGCAATCTCCTCCTTTGACTCTAGAGCAGCAGTTGGTTCAATTGCTTGATGCTATGCGGTTGCAATTGAACAATCAAATTCAGTTGATGGCGGCGTTCACGGCACATGGTACAACTCCTCCTACTTTTGGTGCCAATCCTCGTGTTCGGCCGGAGTTCTTTCATGGGAATCTTGGGGATGATGTATACCATTGGTTCGATCACTTCACGGTGATTGCCACATATCATTCTTGGGATGATGCTCGACGTTTGCGTGAGTTCCCCACATGTCTCCAAGGGACGGCATTGCAGTGGTACAATGGATTGAGCGCAACTACTCGTGGCGATTGGAGTGTTCTTCCGGACGTCTTCAAACGCGCTTTTGGACACGCCGACGATTGTGATGATGCCTTCCAACAATTGCATCGTCTTCGCCAAGGGCCATCTGAGTCGGTGATGCAATTTGGCGTTCGTTTCCGAAGTCTTTTGCTTCGTGCGGAGCCAAATATGTCGGAGCGGATCAAGCTAGGAATGCTGTGGCCAGCACTTCGTCAAGATCTTGTCGGACTTGTGCATGCACTTGCTCCTGCCACTCTTGACGATGCTCTTCGCTTGGCACAACGTTATGAGATGTCGCCTCATCCACTTCTTGCTACACGTCCTTCAGCTCCACTTCCTATGAGTGATGGTCCTGTTCCCATGGAGGTTGATGCTGCTGCTACTCGAGTCCAAGGACAAGGGCGAGGATGTGGTCGTGGTCGTGACGTTCGTTGCTGGGCGTGTGATGAAGTTGGTCATACTTATTGGCGTTGTCGGCGCTTTCCGGATTGGCAACCTCCATTTCCTGGGTGGAGACCTTGGCGTCAGCAACGTCCCGTTGGTGCTGCTGCGGTGGAAGGTTTGGATCCCGAGGTGCATTCGGGAAATGAGGAGTCGCGCGAGTAATGGAGGGACTTTGCGCGAATAAGTTAGTGACCCCTCCATCTTTCTTTCGGGAGTATCATCAAGGGGTTCACTCGGCACCGGTTCATCCAGTGTTTACTTTCCAAGTTCATTTTTATAACAAGTGGTCTCCTATTCTTCTCTCCGTGTTGGTTGATACAGGTTCGAGTTTATCTTCTATTGCTCGACCTGTTGCCACACGTTGTCGTCTACACTTGCGTCGTGCGGCGGATCCAGTTTTCATTCTTTACGGCAACGGCCGTATACATGCATGTGCACGAGATGAAGCAGACCTGGTTGTGCGTGTGGGCAATCTCGAGCTTGAGTTGCAGTCGTTGCGGGTGGTGCCAAGTCAAGCTTTTGACCTCATTCTTGGTATGGATTGGTTGCAGCACAATCATGCCAAGTGTGACTTTGAGGCTTCTCCCCCTTGTCTCATACTTCCTTATGTTTCATCCATTCCTCTCACTTCCGTACCTCTTCGTCCCTCTACTTCTACCTCTGCTTCCATTACTTTTGTTCCCCCACTATTTCCTCTTGTGTTTCCATCTTGTTCTGCTCTTCCCTTTTCCGATCCCTCCGATGATCTTTGTGTTGCAGCTGTTGACCAGCTCATGAAGGAGTATTCTGATCTCTTTGAATTTGACCTATCGTCTGGGGCCAAGATTGCCACACGTCATCCCATTCCAACCGGGGATGTTCGTCCAATCAAGGTTCCTGTTCATCGTCGGTCACCCAAGGAGATCAAGATTTTACGTGCAAACGTCAAGGAGATGTTGGAGAAGGGTGTTATTCGGAAGTCGCGGAGTCCTTGGGCATGTGAACCTCATCTTGTGACGAAGCCTGATGGGAGTATTCGTTTCTGCATCGACTATCGTCCGTTAAATGAAGTGACGATCCCGGACGTGTACCCTCTTCCTCACACTGTTAATCTCTTGGATCGTCTGGGGCGAAGTCGTTGGTTCACCAAGCTAGATCTTGCTTCTGGGTATTGGCAAGTACCGATGGCCGAAGAAGATATTCCTAAGACTGCTTTTCGTACACCATTTGGTTTGTACGAGTTTTTGGTGATGCCGTTTGGTTTGAACAATGCTCCAGCAACTTTTCAGCGGATGATGGACGAGGTTCTTTGCGATATGCCGGAGGTGACGGCTGACTTCATTGATGATGTCTTGATCCACTCGGAGGGGACGTGGAAGGAGCATGTTCGTGATGTTTGTAAAGTGTTGGATCGGCTACGCGACGTTGGTTTAAAGCTGAAGCGGTCGAATTGCGTATTTGGGTCCAAGGACACAACTTATCTTGGGTACCGTATTTTTCGTGAGGGTTTGCAAGTTGATCCTGACAAACTTGTGGCTGTTCTAAAGTTCTCTACTCCGAAGTGTGTGAATGATGTGCAGCGCTTTTTGGGTAAGGTGCAGTATCTTGGTCGTTTTGTGGATCATCTTTCCGATCGCACTACACCATTGCGAACGTTGCTGAAGCCATCAACGTCATCTTTCATCTGGTCTCCCGATTGTGAGCGAGCGTTCGTGAATCTCAAAGAGCTATTGACGACTCCTCCGATTTTGGCATATCCTGACTACACTCGACCTTTTATTTTGCGCGTGGATGCTTCTGACATTGGTCTTGGAGGTGTGTTGATGCAAGAGAGCTCGAGTGTGCCTGGTCAGCACCATCCCATTGCATACATAAGCCGTACATTACAACCAGCAGAGATGAACTACTCCACGACGGAGAAGGAGTGTTTAGCAGCAGTCTGGGGTTTCAAGAAACTTCATGCATATCTACATGGTTCTCGGACATTACTTGAAGCTGACCATGCTGCTGTTACTTCATTATTGAAGCGGAAGAACCTGGTTGGTCGTACGGCTCGATGGGCTTTGAAGCTTCAGATATATGATTTCGATGTTGTTCATCGCCCAGGGAGTTTTATGGCTAATGCTGATGCCCTTTCTCGAGCTTCTCTTCCTTCTCCACTCACTTCTCATGTTTCTGACGAACCTATTGTTCCAGCATCTGTGGATTTTCTAGATGAGGATTCTATGCCGTCAGCGGTTGTTGTCCTTGACGTTCAGTGTCCACAGGGCGTAGAGCAAGATCTACCTTCTCTTGATGAGGTTCGCGAGGCTCAAAAGATTGAGCCGTGGATTCGAAGGCTTCGAGATGGGTTTGAGAATCCTGCATCACTTGCTGATGACTTGCATTTTGGGCATTTACATTCTCAATATCGCCTTGAAAATGGCCTTCTTTATTTTGTAGGGACGGATCCTGCTGATCATTTACAGCTGGTGGTGCCTTCGGTGTTTATTCCGCGGTTTCTCCATGCCTACCATGATTCTCCTATTCTAGGTGGGCATATGGGACACCGTCGTGTCACCGAGAAGCTGCGTAGATCTTTCTATTGGCCAGAGATGCGACGTGATATTATCCGGTATGTGCGTAGCTGCGTTTGGTGCCAAGCTCGTAATACTCCCCCTTATGCTGCGGAAGGACGATTGGAGTCAATTGCAATTTCTCGTCCGTTTGAGTTGGTGGCGTTTGATCTTATGGGACCTTTTCCGCGATCGACTGCTGGCAATGAGTATGTTATTATTGCTTCTGACTACTTGACTCGTTGGGTGGAAGTTGGTGCTCTTGCTAGTGCCTCTGCAACTGATGTTGGATACTTCCTCCTCAATCGAGTGGTGTTCCAGCATTCTTGTCCAGAGAGGATTCTTTCGGATAATGGTCCTGCATTTATGGCTGAGGTATTTCATGTTTTGACATCTCGGTTGGGGATACGCCACACTTTTACAAGTGCTTATCATCCACAATCAGACGGTCTGGTGGAACGGCTCGTTCGGACATTCAAAGGGATGATTGCGAAGTATGTGAACTTTCAACATTCGGATTGGGATGGTTATTTGCCGTCTCTTCGGTATGCCTATGTCACAGGGGTGCAGAGTTCTGTTGGTGCTTCACCATATAAACTTCTATATGGTCATGATCCAATATTACCAACAGAGCTGGGTTTACCTTCGCGATTGCCACGAGCTCCTGATGCTAGGTCATGGGATCAATATTTGACAAGCATTCTTCCACTTGTCCAAGCAAAGTCTGCTGAACACTTAGGCCGCATACAAGTGGGACAACAACGGCGCTACAATTCCCATCATCGTCCACCTGCGGAGTACAAAGTGGATGATTTGGTGTTAGTCCGTTTTCCCCATCTTACGGTACGTGGTTTATCTAAGGGGCTCCTTGCGCAGTGGAAAGGACCGTATCGGGTGTTGCGGCAAGTTGGACCACAAGTTTATGAGGTTCGGCATAACATTCAGCGGGCCGATCCTCCGGAGATTGTGCATGTGCAGCGGTTAAAACGCTTCATACAAAGGGATCAGAAGCAGTTAATACCGTCTACAGATCCACCAATGCTTCCTCCTGACGTTCCTCCAGATCCCGGCCCATCTACAAGAGAACCCTGACGGCCTTCCATTATTCCAAGAGGAGGGGATGATGTGAGGGCCAAGTGTACGGCTATGATGCCGTATACTAATATTAACGTAGTGGATTTTGGTAGCCGTCGGATTGGTTTCAATCCGGACCACTCGCTCCTGTATATAAGCTAGGGTTTTTGGGCTAATTGATATGCACATTTCTATATTCCCTTTCCATATTCCATGCACTCACAATTAATTTTTTCTAATGTCTTTTATTGTTTTAAATTGATGAAACTTTGAATTGTCTAAATCTCTAAATATATATTTCTTGAGATATCAAAGACATTTTAGTATAACTATATCATATGTCTTTGATTAGTTGAAGTGTAATAGAGATATTCTTTGTATTTATAAATTTTGTTTGGTATAATTTGTTCATTATTAATTTGATCAAGAGTTTTTTACAAAACCATTTTCTTCTTTTTGAGATCCAAGGAAACCATTTTCGAGAGTGGCATTCCCTCTTGCAATGCTGTTTGGATGGATGTTTCCATGGCAATCTCAAGAGAGATATCATCAGCTGAACGAACTCCAGCTATGTTGTGATACACAGACATTTGCGCTTCACCACCCTGAAAAATAAAGGCATCACAGATTTTTTTAGCTGTTCTTTCGGTTTTTTTTTCTGACTTGGAATGATTACCTGTGTGCAAGCTACATGCAATCTCTTAACTTGATCTTTATCTCCTCTCATCTCCGCTCGAAATCGAAGCTCTTGCTCTGTTGAAACAAGGGATACAAACATAAAACCATACGTTAACTATCGCTTACTGGTAACTTTGTCCAAAATAACCAGATGAGGATCAGCCGCATCCATGTTTGGTTCTCGTATTTCACTGGTAAAGCTTCCTAGCCAGACCACTCTTGTTGGCGAATTTCCCTGCCACAGCATTTCCTCTGTAGAATTGTTTAGATCTGCTACAAGACCATTACCTTTCTTGAAGCATACAACGCAAGCTCGTTCCTTGCTGGAGCTCCATTTTCTGTCGAGCATGTCGGCAATACGACGGCCCAGCTGTTTTCAATGTAATGTCAGAGACCAAAAAACAATCTTCCTTGGCTGAGTGCTTACACTTTTTTGGAGACAAGCTTCTTGCTGCTTTTGGAGTTGTAAAGCTCACGCAAATATCCTCCGAAGTAGCAAACCCAATCCTGAAACCAGACTTGTGCAATTGATTTGAAAGCAAAGCGTGAAACATACCTCTATTATTCGTACCACTGCTATATGTTTCTTTTCTCTAGCTATGTCGAGAGGGGTTTGACCTTCATCGTTCGCCACCAGAGAATCGGCTGCAAAGAAAGAAAATGAAGGAAGAAAGGAAGACTAGTTAGAAAGTTCAGCAAGCATTATAACTAATTTACGTTAGACCTCCGCAAGAAAGTAGCAAGGCCACTGTGTTGATAAGCCCAGAACTTGCAGCATGGTGCAAAGCGTATCTTCCCGCGGAACCTTTCAGATTTCGAAGAATCAACTAACATCACACAAGCAAGGAAAACTTAACTTGTTGGAAGGCATCCCAATTTTATTAGCGTCAGTGCCATGCTGAAGAGATCTTCTCGGGTGCACGAAACCATGAGTGGAGTCATTCCTTCAGCATTTGTCCACTATGTTTGTTCTCACTAGTTAGAGCAAACAAATCACGAAAATACCTCCAATGAAGCACCATTCAAGGATAAAGATTTGACGAGTGGACAATCCCCCTTCTCAACAGCGTTAAGCAATTGCTTCTTCAAGTTCTCCTCTCGGAGTTTCTCTGCAGCCGCTCGAGATTGTTCATAAGAAATCTCTCCAAAACCCCGGCTCTCCTGTGACTCAGTCACGTCAGATCTCACAACATCAAAGTTCTATGATTACCTGATCATTGGAAGGAAGCCATTTTGCACGGATCCTCCTTTGACTAATTCCCTGCACAAACGATCTCCGGGACCGCCCGTGAGTGTGTTTGCTGGGGCTCCCTGTGCTATCTTCCTTGGCATTCTCATTTTTGCCAATCCAGGGCAATTTGCCCCCCGCCTCTACCTCCACCTCCATGAAATCTATCTCAGGATCACTCCTCCCGACGAAGAAGGATCTCCAGCGCCGTCGCGCAGCCCCCAGGCGACCGTCCGTGCTCTTCTGCATTCTGATCAACACAAGCCACCTAAGAATCCTCCGCCAAGGTCAGAGGAGCAATGATCTCACCTGGGACGAGAATGACGATCAAACAGTGCCTAGCCCCGGGGCCCTAGAGAGAAACCCTATCGCCCCTAGAGCGCGCTTTAGGAGCGATGGAAGAAGGAATATGGAAAGATAAAACAATCGCTCCGAGTGCTTTCAATTCACTGCCACCGTCAGATAAGCTCCAGCTATACCACGTGTGCGGCTGGAATTAACCGAGTTCAAAAAGATGGTGGCGGGTGATTTATAATGGAGCGCTGACGTAGGACCGCACTTGGGCAACGCGTCACGTCGCGTGTTCGATTCCATCCAAGAAACTGGCAACTGCACCACAGCGTTGCTTTGTTATGAAGCAACCTCTCGAAGAGTCTCCCGTTGCTGTGGCCTTGGAAGTCTAATTTAAATTTTCCAAATTCCCGCCAATCCAATGAGTTAGATTTTTGAGATTTCCCGCCACTTTGGATCTTAGGGTTCTAGACCAAGGTAGGGCTTTGAGGGTCGTGGCGGGGGGCGCGGGAGGGCGCGACTGTTGATCCATGGCGCAAAACGCCGCATTGACGCCATCGGCGCTCACAGGTAGCGATCTCGCCCTCACCACACCACGGAGTCGCTCGACGAGTTCAAGCGCGTCACGCCACAGCAGTCGCGCGAGGCCCGGCAGAACGCAGCTCGCAGGGAGCTCGCGACCAAGCGCACCAATTGGACAGCCGACAACCGCAAGCGCAGCATCTACCAGGGCACCGGCGTGCTCGTCGATCGGGAGCGCAGCAAATCGCGGTCGCGGTCGCTCTCGCCTGGCGAGCACTTCCACTACGTCCACAATTGCTTCCTGGACTACAACCGCTACGTCGACACCGACTACGCGGATCTCTACTCCACCATCCCGGAGGAGGAGGAGGTGAACAACGTCAGCTCCGGATCGGGCGCTAGCAACATCTCTGGGATTGGCCCCGAGCTTTCCATGGCCAACACTTCGGTGGATGTGAAAGAGCTCCCCGCGTGCTACGTCTTCGTGGCGGACGTTCCAGGCCTCAAGAACAGCGACATCAAGGTTAGTACTCTCCAGGAAAAAAATGGATTTTCATCGGTTTTCCTGGTTGGTTCATTGCGGTGATCATCAATCATAGGTCCAAATCGAGAATGACAGCATCCTCAAGATCAGCGGCGAGCGCAAGCGCGAGGACGGGCCCAATGTGGACGTCAAGTACGTGAGAGTGGAGCGAGCAGTAGGGAAGTTCATGAGGAAGTTCAATCTCCCGGCCAATGCCAATCTCGAGGCTGTGTCCGCGTCGTGCCAGGACGGTCTCCTCACCGTCACCGTGCCCAAAGTGCCGCCGCCGGAGCCTCACAAGCCCAAGACGTTTGATGTCCAAGTCGCGACTGCCAGCGTTGGCCCAAAGTAGAAGATCCAAGAAAAAACCAAGGAAGAAATGGAGATTGGCAAGATTTCTACCAGATCATGAGAGTGAAAACGAGAAATGTTGGTAACATCACGCCAGGCAGAGAGAAATAAGCTTTGTAACTCCTTTCTAGCTCTGATCGAATGAAGCAAAAATTCCTATAATGGTCTTCACTGATCAATCAATCTATGATATGATATGGTAAGTTGCGAGTATTGGAAACCCATGCGACGAAAAGATTCGGGGATATTACTTCAGTTGAGCTCCGGACAGTAACTGCGCCATGTGGCGAGATGCGAGAGTTTGTTAACGGGATATCGGATTTCGCGGATCGGACCGGATCTGTATTACTCATTGTATATACTTTGTATTCGTTACTGTATAAAAGACTGCGCACGGAGGAGGGTATATTCTATCCATGGCTTCTTCTCCAGCTTCCGATGATTTCATCTTCTTCCCCGAGAAGAAGCCACGGATCCACTACGACACGCTCGACAGCAGCCTCTTTAGCAGCGATCTCGATTTCGTGGGCGCCGCCACCGCCGATGACAGCCACTTCCTCTTCTGCGATGTGCCGCCATTCTCGCCCTCGTCGATCGGCGGCGGCGGAGGCGGCGGGGCGGTGGGCTGTGGCGGCGGCAAGCCGCGCAAGGATCCGTCCAGCGATCCAGTGTAAGTTCTTGCGATGGATCATCGCATTTGAGCTGATGGCTGGAAATATTTTCTTTTATGGCGCGGGCGCGAAGAACAGGTGGTTTGAATTTGGGGCTATTTGCGTGCCAATCGACGAGGGCGAGGGCAAAGAATTCCAGCTCCCGGGCTTCGATGTCGATGGCGGCGGCGGCGGCGATCACAACCCGCTGGATCTCATCCGGGGCCAGCACAAGGCGCTGCTCGACGAGCTCGCGTAAGGATCTCTCGCGCCTTGGATTTTCTTCTTTTTCCCTCCCCTCCTCTTGATCCACCATGGCCCGATCCAGGCTCAACGAAGCGCAGGGGCAAATGGCGACCATCGCCACGGAGCTGAGCGACAGGGTGGAGGTCAAAGTGTTCTTGAAGAAAGAACGCGGCGAGGAGCCGCTCGTCCTCAACGAAACGCTCCAGAGGATGTTCCCGGGGGATCTTTACTTGCAGCAGAGCTTGGCCGAGGTGGAGGAGATGCGGCAGTGGGGGCGATCCAGCACCGACTGGATGTCCTTCTCGGGGCTCCTCCGCGACCTGGAGAACAACGTCTACTGCGAGGCGGAGCAGCCCAGCGGATTGACGGTGCCGCTGCGCCCCTACCAGCTCCAATCTTTGCAGTTCATGCTCGACGCGGAGCAGCGAGAAGGCGGGCTTTTGAGCGTCAACTATCAAGAGCTCCATTGCCCACAAGATGGAAGCCAGTTGATGTACTCGTCATCGCTCGCCCACCTAATGGACTTCAAGGAAGGGGAGATCCGTGGGGGGTTTCTTTGCGAGGAGATGGGGCTTGGCAAAACTATCGAGGTACTAGCATCGTTTTTTTTTTCTTTTTTTTTTCCGGAGTAACATTTGATTTAGTTTGACAGATTTTAGCGCTCATTCTTGCAAATCCTTGCCCTGCTGATCGGTGTGACACACCTCTAACATCGCGAGGAACTTTAGGTGACTTCCATGTCAGATCATTCGTCTCGTGTAGCTTTCTTGTATTTTATTTTGTGTTGCTTTTTTCTTCTCCAGTGGTTTGTCCGGTTTCGATTGTTGGACAATGGGCGAACGAGGTGAAAAGCAAATTGGATCCGGCATGCAATCGCAGCATTTACATGTACCATGGTTCGAAAAGGATTCGTGATCCTAAGAAACTTGCGAAGTTTGATCTTGTATGTATGATCTTGAGAAAGAGTTTGTTGATGAGCTTTGTTGTTTTACATTTCTCAGGTAATCACGACGTATGCAACACTGGGAAGCGACTTCAGTAAAGCAACGCAGGCAACGCGGCATGGCTCAGATTTTGCGGAACAATTCTGTCCTCTTCTCAGCGTGGATTGGTGGAGAGTCGTCCTAGATGAATCACACACAGTAAGTCTTGTAGTTCTTACAACTATACAGGCTTTCTCATCTTCGTTTTTGTTTTCTTTCTTTTTCGTTTTCCTTCTCTTTGTCTAACAAGGTGAAAGATCCAGCTCCATTGCACTCCCGCGCCTGCACTAGGCTGAAAGCGAACCGCCGCTGGTGCTGTACAGGAACACCGATCAACACCAGCATATACGATTTGTATGGCCAAGTAAGCAGCTACATTCGTGCAGTTACATGCGTTACTGAATTTACTGATTTTATGTTTCGTAGTTCTTGTTCTTGAAGCTGGAACCTCTTGACAATAAGAACGTTTTTAGGAAAAAGATCGGGCGTCCGTACGAGCGGCACTGTAAGAACGACGACCAGACCGCATTGTTGTGGACGCTAAACAAGGTACAAGATTCTTTAACGGTTGAGTTCTGAAGACGGGATTTATCATATAACAAAGGAACCAACACCAACATCTTCCATTAACGACACCCAAACCCCTGCCATCTTTCCTTCATAATCAGATTATGGTGAGGCACACCAAGCAGCAGAAGTTCAACGGGAGGGAGCTGCTGATGCTACCGCCCAAAACGGAGCAGGATCTCCCTGTCACGTTCACTCCCGAGGAGCGGGCTGTCTACGATGCGGTGTACCAGAAGGTGATCACAAAGTTCGAGCAATTTCGATGTTGGGGCCCGACAGTCGTGAGCAAGAACATCCTACAGATAATGTCGCTCCTGCTACCGCTTCGAAGGTGAGACTTTAAAGCTTGAAACCATGTCTGGTGTTGTTTACTAAGAACTTCTCCTCGTGACAGGCTCTGTAGCGGAGGCTTTGTGTCCAATGAAGAGCTTGTTCCCATGGAGAAAAAGGAGGCGGCTGGTGCTTTCGTTAATCCTAGCATAGGATCGCTGCCGGAGACGCATGGCATTGGAGAGTGTGGGATTTGCTCGGAATTGATGGAGTACCCCACTAAAACACCATGCGGTCACTGGTATGTTTGAATCATGAAAAAAACTTATCTTTATAGCTCTTCTCTAACAGGTTCTGCTCGGAGTGCGTGATCTCGGTTCTTGGTGTAGGGATCCAACCTTGTCCAACATGCTCCACTCCCATATCCGTGAACAACCTGAGGAATGCAGCTACTGTTTCTTCGCCTGCCACGGATATCCCTCCATTTGGAGCTGCTGGAGGAGAAGGTGGCGAAGAAGAACCCGCCCCTGTGAAAGGTGTCCGGATGGAGTCCAAGTTGAGGACGCTGCTTGCGGATCTGGCTGCGATTAGAGCCGACAACAGTGGCGCCAAGGTGAATTTAACTCAAACTAGAGAACCTTGGTTACCCGGTGGTACTATTGCAGGTGTTGATCTTCAGCCAGTTCATGCAAACAGTCGCGTGGCTCAAGTGTCAGTTCAAGAAGCAAGGAATCAACTATAGGTTCATCAGTGGGGACATGCCAATGAAGAAGCGAGCACAAGCCATCGAAGCTTTTCAAAAGGTTTGGATTGTTACGACAAGGAATTGGAACTGACTTAATGGAAACAGGAGTCTCCTACCACCGTCTTCTTGTTGTCGATACGAACCGGTGCCGTGGGCATAACACTCACGGCCGCTTCTCACGTTTACATGGTACGAGCATTCGATGTTCTTTGGATGACCCAACTAACGTTTCCTTGCTGCTTGCAGCTAGAACCATGCCTCAATCCAGCGGTAAGAGTTTTCATTCCTTCGCTGCCTCGCTCACGCATCCAGCGTTTTCGTTGCTTCAGCTCGAAGAGCAGGCTGTGGGGCGGTGCTGGCGGATGGGCCAAGAACGCCCCGTTGTAATCAAAAGGTATTTTGCCATATCCACGAGTCATTAGAAATCTAATCTCCTCGCAGGCTCTACGTTGAGAACTCCGTGGAAGCCAACATTCTAAAGCTCTTCCGGAGTAGAAATTTCGGGAGCTCGGCTCTATCACCGGATGGAGAGAACCGGTGAGTAGAACAAGGCAGGAAGAATCACGATCTCTAATGGATGATTTCCAGAGGCTCCAAGACGGGCAAGGCTGGACTGGATGTCGCGGGATGCATTCGGACGGACAAGCAAAACCTCCGGCTAAACGAGTTTGAGCTTCTCTTCTCGTAGAAGAAAAGTATTCTTTAGTGTCACTGGAAAAATTCTATGTTCATACTTGGAATATTCTCGGTATCAAATCATTCCAAGAACCCTAATGTTCTGTGATGCTCCTTTCCTCCTCTCCACAGCTCCAAAATCCAGAGCTCGGGCGCCAATTGGAGCACCGGCATCGCCAGCAACTACCACCAGCGCCAGCTGCGCCGCCGCTGCCGCTGCCAACGCGCCCCGCCAGCGCCGCCGAGTATGGGCGGCTCCTCCAGGCGTGCACCGCCGCCCGCGACGGCGCTACCGGTAAGAAGATCCACCGCCTCATCCTCCACGCGCGCCTGGAGCAGCACATCCACCTCCGCATCAATCTCCTCCACATGTATCTCAAATGCGGCTGCCTGGGCGAGGCGCGCGAGATCTTCGACAAGCTCTCCCGCCGCGTCACCAGCGTCACAATGTGGACCGCCATGATCGCCGCCTACACGCGCCACCACCGCCCCGCCGCCGCCCTCGCGCTCTTCCGTGCCATGCTCCTCGCCGGCGTCCGCCCCAACAGCATCACCTTCGTGGACGTCCTGTCGATGTGCTCCTCCGCCGGGGCGGAGTTCCTGGCGCACGGGCGCTGGATCCACGGGCTCATCCGCGAGCTGGGCTTCCAGGAATCCAACGTGATCGTCGCCACCGCGCTGCTCAAGATGTACTCGCGCTGCGGCAGCCTGGACGAGGCGAGGGCCGTCTTCTCCGCCATCGCAGCCAGGGACAAGGTGGCGTGGACGGCGATGATGGCGGTGCTGGCGCAGCACGCGCGCGCCGAGGACGCGCTCCGCCTGTGCCGCGCCATGCTCCTCGACGGCCAGGCGCTGGACGAGATCACCGCCATCACCGTGCTCTCGGCGTGCGCGGACGAGAGCGCGCTCCCGTACGGCGCCGCCATCGCCGCCGCCGTCATCCAGGCGGGCCTCGACGCCGATGTCCGCGTCGCCAACGCGCTCGTCCACATGTACGGCACCTGCGGGAGCCCCGCCGCCGCCGCCGCCACCTTCGCCGCCATGGCGGCGCCCAACGTCATCTCCTGGACGGCGATCATCTCCGCCTGGGCGCGCGCCGGGGACGTCGAGCGCTCCTTCGATCTCTTCCGGGCGATGCAGCAGCACGGCGTGGAGCCCGACTCGGTGAGCTTCGTGTCGCTGCTGGCGGCGTGCAGCCACGCCGGGCTCACCGCCCAGGCGCTCGACTACTTCGCGGCCATGACGCAGGACCACGGCATCGCCGCCACGCCCGAGTGCCACGGTTGCCTGCTGGATCTGCTGGGGCGGGCCGGGTGGCTGGACGCGGCGGAGGAGATGATCGCCACTCTCCCGGTGGAGCACCTCCAGTCGGACGCGCGGCTGTGGAGGGCGTACCTGGGAGCTTGCAAGACATTTGGCGATCGCGGGCGAGGGCAGCGCGCCGCTGGCCGGCTGCTGGATCTCCGCCCCGGCGATCCGGCGGGCTACGTCGAGCTCGCCAGCCTCTACAGGAAGAAATCATAGACCTTCGTTCAAACCGGTGATTATTCTTGGGTATATTCATTACGTGATTATACTAAGGTATATCCTTTACCGTACCTGGCTATGTTTATCCTTTACCGTCCGGTGATTATTCTTGGGTATATCCATCAGATAAATTAGAATACACACTTTGGAAACATCTTTCTCGCATTTCTTGGTTTCGGGATTACAAAACTTGCACAGTAGAAAGTGAGTGATCGATCAGAAGATGCGAACTGGCTTGCCCATTGTACTCTTCAAGTAAAGCACCCTCACCTGGAATCAATCGAAGTTAAGCCACGAGAAAAGAGAGAAGCGCTACTACTACTTACGTTTTGCCAGTTCTTCTTGAGCAGCGAGACGAGGAAGTTAACGCTGAGCTGAACGTTCTGGAAGACCTGCTTCTCCTCCATCTCGATGTTGCCCACCGCTACTCCCATGCACAAAACCTTTTTGAGCTGGAACTTGACCATGGCCTTGGTTTCGTTCAGCTTGCTCTCCAAGCTCTCCTGGTGCGACACCAGAGTGGGGAACTTGCCCGCCTTGTTGAGGCCCGGGCCGAGCAGCCGAGGGATGAGCTTGATCACCGCCTCCGAAGCCAGGAAAGCGTGGTACTTCTTTGCCAGCTTCTTCACGAGCTTCTTGTTCTTGTTCATCTTCTTCAGCCCCTCCAGATCCATGTAGTCCAGACCGATCTTCTCGGCCTGTGCAAAAAAAGCAACGGACCAGTGATTCAATCCGGCAACAAAAGGAGACAGGGCGCTCAATCTTACCTCCCCTACATGCTGCGCATCACCGAGCATGCACACTCTCATCTTGGGCCGGGCAATGTGAGGCAGCTTCACCGAGCCGCTGAAACGCTTGTCCTTCTGCGGGTCGTAGTTCTTGAGACCGATCTGGAGCTCGATCGTCTCGGGGAACTTGCGCTTCTTCTCCCGGCATTCCGTGAAGATCTGGGAGATGGCCTCCCGAAGAGAATCGGCCTGGAGCTTACTGCACACATCGACAAGAGCGAGAGTCAGGAGGGAAGAAACAGAGCGCACACACTACGCTCACCTCATCGCGCCCCCGCCTCCGCCTCCGCCGCTGCTAGGGTTTCCTAAGGAAAAGAAGATTTAGGGTTCTAGGCCGTCCAGGATTTAGGGCATATGGCCACCGTTGGATGCCCAAAATCTGACGGTAAGGGTTACAGTGATAGAAGCTTAAGATAATGACAACCCTTATAAAAGAAATGTGCCCTAGAACACCTTTTATCTTACACGTTACTTTAGTAGGAAGAAAACACTATCCATTAACGGTTTTTGTTTCCTTTCCCACAATGCGCGAACGATAGATCAGAAAAAAAATGCGTCTCCTTGCAGAGTTGCATGGCCACCTTTACACATTAATCACGTTAATCACACCTCGCGGGAGTTCTTGCCGGGATAGGGGGAATGTCCGTCCTGCGCTCCAGCAAGCGCGCCACGCCTTCCATCGCGGGCCTGGATCTCGGATCCGGATGAGAGCAAAGCAATCCAACTCCATAGAGGGTCATTGCCTGATCAAACACGAAGCTTCCCCCAAGCTTCGGATCGACCAGCTCTCCAATCCCACACCCCCGCTCGTGTAGCAGCCACGCTCGATCCACCAGAGACCCACCCTCCTCGGAACTTGGAGGACCCCCGGAGACGAGCTCCAGGCAAACGATCCCAAATCCATAGACGTCCATCTCTCGGGTCCACGGATCCGAGGAGGAGCTCGCCTCCGGAGGAAGATGATACTCTGGCTGAGGATGATGATCCGAAGAGCTTGGAGCTCGCGAGGAGCTCGAGCCGAGCAAGCCAAAGTCACCGAGCCGGGCCTGGAAGGTGATATCCATGAGAACGTTGCTCGACTTGACGCGGCCGTGGAGGAAGTTCGACATGTGGAGATGGAGGAGCGCCGCGGCTACGTCCCCTGCCAGCTTCCAGCGGTGGATCCACGGCAGCGCCAGGAGAGCTTCCGCGGGATGGAGCCACTTATCCAGGCTCGCGTTGGGCATGTACTCGTAAACCACCATGAGATCCGGGCCTGACTCGCACCAACCCCGGACTGGAACCAACCGGGGATGCCTGAGCTTGCTGAAAGCCGGGAGGATCTCCGAGATGAGCTGCTGCTTGCGCTTCCTGTTCTTGCTCATGTTCAAGCTCGGCACGCACAGCACACCTGAGGACGAGACCGGCCAGACGTTGCTGAGAACTTTGATCGCTACCAAGCTGCCATCCTGCAAGCTTCCCCTGTAAACTACTCCGAGCGGCCCCTGCCCGAGCTTCTGCTTCTCGGCGAAGTCCCCGGTTGCTACCACCAGCTCAGGAAGATCAAACTCTCGGGGCCTGTGGAGCGGCCTCGGCCTTGGGAGCATCACGACTGGCATGCTCCATGGATCACCACCACCGCCACTAATACTAGCACTAATGCTTTTGCTCGAGTGAGCTCTGTTCCTTCGCCAAGAAACGAGCACGATGAGAACCAGCGAGAGGACGGTAGCACTTACGCTGACGAACACGAAGAAGATGGCCGGGGGATGGCCCTTTCTGCCGCTGGCGTGGTCGAACTTGTCCTCCACGATGGCGTCTTCGCATTCCTCTCGGTGGGAGATGGTTTCCTTGCTGTTGCTGAGAGTCACCGGCGGGAACCTCTGGACGGCGTGGCTGGCACACGAGAAGGTCCACGAGAGGATGCTGTGGGAGAGAGCCTCGGCACCGGTGGAAGCCGTGAAGCCGACGAACATGTACTCCTTGAGAAAGCTGGAGAGATCGACCGGCGTGGAAATCAGTGGAAGAACCTGATCGTCGTCGAGTAAGCTGTCTTGCTTGGCCGGATCAAACTCGGGGTCGCGCGAGGAATGAGTGGAGCTCACTCGAACTTGGAGGTGCTGGATGGAGCTGTCGTAGCTGATCCTGGCAGTCACAGACGAGCCGTTCCTCAGGAACACTCCCGCGTTGGAGAGATCGGCCGTCTCGTTGGATATGACGCTTCCCAAGTTCAGGCCAACATGGTTGTCATTGGGATCGCCAAACTCGTCGTCTTTGAAAGTGTCAAACTCCACCGCGATCACGGGACGCCTACCCTCGCTGCTGTTGCCTCGCCGGTGGTGGACGCACGCATCGTTGAGCATTCCCAGATAGCCAGCGTCTCGACCAACCGTCATTTCATCCGGAGCTATGATAAAAGCCAGGCCTCCACCAGTTTCATGGCTTGTGGACGACGAAGAGCTCTGGATGACGAAGGAGAAGGTAGTGTCGAACGAGGCCGGGATGCTGGTGTTTGGATCCCACATCCGGACTGGCGATGCAAAGAGCGCTCGTCCCGCTTGGTTGGCTTGCGCATCCTGAGCTGGAATTCTTATCGATCCATCCCCCATCACTGCCGCATTCCCAATGAGCCTGATATCCTCCGTCCTCTCCCCGAATGCTCGAGATGGAAACTTGAAACTCCTCCTTATCTGGCTTCGGTGGTGAGCAACCTTGACAAACAAAGACGAAGAGTCCCGGGCTTGAGCAGCACATAGCCATAGCAGCAGCAGCAAGAGCAGTCCCATGACTCGATAAAAATCCTGTTTTAGCTTCTCATCCTTCTTGTTCTTGTCCTTCTTCTTCCGATGGAAAGGAAAGTCTCACCAGGAAAATCACCCCCTTCAACTGATCCCCAACTGTTTTCACTTCACACCAAGACTGTGAGCACCAAGTTGCCTAGCCATGCGATCGACGGGCCGGGAGGGAGCAAATTCGCGGAAGCGAGACTCTCACGATGGTCCAGAGGCCGTCCGCTGAGTGGTGAAGACGACGGAGTGCTAATGAAGGTGGAAATTGTTTTCTAGTGATCAATGGAACAGTTGTTGGACGGACATTAGCACAGCCGGTGCGGAATATTGATGAAACCAGGACCAACCAGCACCGCTCATCTGCTAGTACGTTCTCCACAATCTGCTCGGCAGCTTCGCCTCGTGGAATCCCAGCTGGCGAAAAATGAAAGAAAATTGTTACTGTCTCGTCCCAGCGACAGGCCACTCACCTGTGACCCAGGCGCTTTTGGTACCATCGCTACAAACGAATTTGGTGTTCTTTCAATGAAACTGTGGAGTAGTATGTTAGCAGTGCACTGCAAAAGGGTGAGATGTCAGGAAGCCAGCGAATTTTCTAATCGCAAGGATCCAAATGCGAATGCTTATTCAATTATACTGAAACCTGAGAGTTAAGAGGAAGAGTTCTGGATTGCGAGAATCGAGCTGCGGCGTCACTGGTCCATCATTAATCAACTGAACCTGTCAACTATCAGAAGTTTCCATCACGTCAACTTCATGAACAAGAGCGGGAGGAGGTCATACTTGCATCAGTGCGCCAAATATACGCACGGCTTAGCTTTTGGAGGGATTCATGGAGATCACACAATGCTTGCCTTTAACTTTGTCCGTAGAGTAGGAGTGAGCGACAGCCTCGACGAACTTGGAGTAGAAATCCTTAGCCTGGAGTGGTGGCATGGCCAAGTGGAAGTCCGGGTTGTTCCCCTTGAGAAATCCATAAAGCGTGAACTGACTCAATGGACAGTGGAAGAAGAAAAAAGATAAATGTTGCAATACATTCATACAATCCCGAGCAAAACGTCGGAGGTTCTTTTGCATGACCTGTTCGTAAAGAACACAAAAGAAAAACTTTTTTTTTTTCTGAGAATCTCGAGAGTGGGAAATAGAAAAAGAGGCACTTTCTTACACATGCTTTGGCGGTTTTGTCGTTCACAAATAAGCGCAATGCTTAGAATTTTCCTGCAGCTGCGAAGAACACACCAAAGAAAACTGCATCTCCTTGCCCATCCGAAGCTCAATTAGGACATCTGCAGGGAAAGCGTTTCAAGGAAGAAAGGAAAAAACGCACAAGCAAGCATCTGTGACACAATTTGGCCATCGACCTGATCGAAAGAAGCAATCAGAGCGATCAAAAGGGAAGGACTCTCGCGCTTACATCGACTCTGGCGGACAAGACTCGCTGCACCACTGCCCGCATTGCCCTCGAGTAGCAAGGACTTGATTTTTAGGGTTCTTGCTGGAAACGGCGCTCTCTCGTTCTTCTGGTCCTCCGAATCCGCGGCATTCGAGATGGCTCGTCGCCAGCGGCTTAAGGTGTGGAGAGAGCTTATTTTCTCGCATTTCTCTCATCTTTGTGACAGCACAGTGTCGATTCATCTCAAGGGCGTTGAATGTCACTGGTGAAGGACTGATTTCTTTTTCTCTGGATTGGTTCTTGCAGGAACATTGTCTCTTTCAGCGATGGCGCCGCGTTTAATTCCACTGGCACTCCATACTTCTACCTGACCGAGCTGGATCCAACAGCAAGGGATTTGGCCGCGGACGACCGCTGCTCGTTCACGACCTCGCTGGGAACTTGCGGCAAAGCGGACGCAGAGTGCCCAACTTGTTCCAAGATCACGCTCTCTGGAAAGGTGTGGAATTCTCCTTGTTCTCATCGCAAGATTTACTACACTCGGTACTCACTGCCCTCGGCTTTGTTCTCCAAGCACCATGAAATGCCCAATGAGTTTTTTGCTGTCATGCATTCTAATATTTGGATCCAATTAATAAAGGGCCAGCCCTAACCCTAAAAATTTCCATCGTGTTTTATTGAGTAACTTAACCCGTGCAAAATGATTAATTGTGTTCTTAACTGCTTTCGTTAAAAGCTGACCTATTCATCTTACATTGACAATAAAGACTGGTAACAATTTCCCGTTCCATCGTTCTCTCTAACTCGTTCATCAGAGCCCAATTCCTGGGAAGACACACACACGGGATGAAAAACACACCTCCCTGCCCAAGGCTCGGCACACACATCGCATTGATCAGTAGAGTAGCCTTCCCAAGTGCCCTTGGAAAGTAAGGACATTGTTAGGATTAAATCGTCACCCCTCCGGAAGGGGAGCCCTTAGATTTGGGTGCTGCTAATTTGTTATCTAGATTTTCTTGGCAATTGACAAATTAAATTTTGAAATACCTTCTTATTAGCGGGTCCAAATGAATATACATTTAGAGCTCCTTCCTAAGCTTGCTTGCATTACCAAACAGTGCTATGCTGTCATGCCCAAAATTTGTGATTGGGCAAGATTTGGACATGTGTATGTAGCAAGTATATGGTGGTCACAAGCACCTAATCTTTCAAGTCTTTTATATATACATGGAGTATAATACATATAAAATGTCTTGACCACAATTCATTTAACAGTGGCTTAAATCTCACACTCAATGTGATGTCGCCACCGCCATACTAGATCTACCAAAGACCAGGTTAGAATTTGAGGAGAAGAAGCTAGAATGTGATGAGACATTGCCAATCGTCAATTGATCTCAAGAGGAGTGAGACCAATCTCAAGATTGCCAAGTGTACTATTCATAGTTGTATGTCGAAGAGCTTTAGTATTTAAGAGCTCCTCACTACTTTCATCTCTACAATCATGTACCTTGACAAAATGTCACTTCCAACATGTCCTTTTGCCATACATTGGAGATAGATGTTTACAGCCTCATCAAATCACCGGAAGGTTCTTGCTGGATGGATACTAGGGAGAGTAATACTTTAGTAATTATTCATATGATTCAATCCAACGTAAGAATGATGATGTTCAATACTCCCTACCAAAGAAATAAAAAAATTCAATGTTGAACAATGCCATTTGTGAGATTTTTAAAGGCTTTTTCATTGGAATGTACTGGGAGTCATATTATCAGGCAGCTCATTTCAAATGTTGCGAGGTTGCTCAGGTCAATCCCACTGTGGAGCAAATAAATAAGAACATGCTGCATTCACACTTGTACAAGATTTGGAATAAACTAGTCACGAAAGTTTTACATTGTTTCTAGTAAAATAGAAAAAGCTTTAAACACATATAGCGTTTTTTAATAGGATAGTTAAAGGTTTTGTGATTCGCAACGTGAAGTTGCAACCTCCTGCCCAACAACTTTGAAAGCGGATAAGCTCTTGTGGGCCTAGAAGCAACAGCCTTGTGAGATTCATGAACAAGCAGACCAGGCCATCAGGAAAAGAACGCGTCAGAGTTACACTGCTGCGGATTATGTCAAGGCTGTGGCTACGAATGGAAACACTCAGAAAGTCTGTTCCCGTGTTTCAGGACTTGCTGAATTGTTTCACAAGGTGTGGAAAGAGACGGGTGTTTGATCGCCTCTGTTCTCATATCCCGCTAAAAGATCAGGCGAAGATGGCTGCATTTGCAGTAGCTCCCGGACAAGGAGATAGCCTGCTTGTCTTTCGTTCTCGACTTCTCAAATACTTCCTTCTGCCGGGCAGATTACATTGAAAAGAAGGCAGCGAGGAAGGGTCTGGCGAAAGTGTTTCTGCCACCACACGCGGTAAGATCTTTCGAAAAAACTAAAAAAGATTCAGAGAGCGTCAAGTTCTTAGCAGGTTTGTTCATCGCGGATTCTTCTGAGCCTGATATCCTCCGTCCTGTCCCCGAATGCAACTGGCTTCGGTGGCGAGCAACCTTGACGAACAAAGACGAAGAGTGAGCAGCAGCAGCAAGAGCAGTCCCATGACTCATAAAAATCCTGTGTTTAGCTTCTCATTCTTCTTCTTCTTCGATGGAAAGAAAAGTTTCACCCGGAAAATCACCCCCTTCCAACTGATCCCCAACTGATTTCACTTTCACACCAAGAATGTGACCACCAAGTTGCATAGCCATGCGATCGACGGGCCGGGAGGGAGCAAATTTGCGGAAGCGAGACTCTCACGATGGTCCAGACGCCATCCGCTGAGTGGTGAAGACGAAGAAAAGGTGGCCCAAGTTTTCTAGTGATCACTGGAACAGTTGTTGGACAGCTATATTGATGAAACCAGGACCAACCAGCACCGCTCATCTGCTAATACGTTCTCCACAAGCTTCGGCTTGTGAAATCCGCTGGCAAAAAAATGAAAGAAAGAAAAGAAAATTGTTACGGTCTCGTCCCAGCGACAGGCCACTCACCTGTGACCCAGGCACTTTTGGTACCATCGCTCCAAACGAATTTGGTTGTCTTTCTGTGGAGTAGTACGTTAGTAGTGCACTGCAAAAGGGAGAGAGGTCAGGGAGCCAAAGAATTTTCTATGCGAAAGGAGCCAATGTGATGATCGTTCAATTATAAACCTGGGAGTTAAGAAGAAGAATTGTGATTGTTCTCGTCGCCAGGCTTGCGAGAATCGAGCTGCAGCGTCACTGGTCCATCATTAACCAAATGAACCTGTCAACAATCCAGAAACCAGGAAAAAAAAGAGATAAAGGTTTCATCACGTCAATTTTATGAACAAGGGCTGGAGGAGATCATACTTGCATCAGTGCGCCAAATATACCATCTGTCAAGCTCGCACTACTTAGCTTTTGGAGGGATTCATGGAGATCACACAATGCTTGCCTTTAACTTTGTCCTTAGAGTAGGAGTGAGCGACAGCCTCGACGAACTTGGAGTAGAAATCCTTAGCCTGGAGTGGTGGCATGGCCAAGTGGAAGTCCGGCTTGTTCCCCTTGAGAAATCCATAAAGCGTGAACTGGCTCACTAGACAGTGGAAGGAAAAAAAAAAACAAATTAATGTTGCAATACATTCATCAATACCGAGCAAAACGTCGAAGTTCTTTTGCATGACCTGTTCGAGAAAGAGAAAAAAAACTTTTTTTTCCTGAGAATCTCGAGAGTGGGAAATAGAAAAAGAAGCACTTTCTTACATTCTGATCCCATGCTTTGCCGGTTTTGTCATTCACAAATAAGCGCATGTTTAGGATTTTCCTGCAGCTGCGAAGAACAGACAGGAATACTTCGATCGATCAAGCGTTTCAAAGCAAAAAAAAAAACAAAGAGGAAGAAGAATAAACGCACAGAAAATCTGCATCTTCTTTGGTGTCGGATTCCGAAATGCCGACGAGCACAAGCAAGCCTTGTCCGATCTGTGACACAACTTGGCCATCGACCTGATCGACAGAAGAGATCAGAGCGATCGAAAGAGCAGGAGCTTACTTCAACTCTGGCGGACAAGACTCGCTGCACCACCGCACGCATTGCCCTAAGGAATCGATTTTTAGGGTTCTTGCTGGAAATGGCGCTACGACACTGGCATTGGGCATTTGGATGCGCTCTCGTTCTTCTGGTGGTATCGATTCATGGCAGCAGGAGGCCAGATCCCTCAGAATCCGCGGCATTCGCGAGATGGCTCGTCGCCAGCGGCTTGTGGGGCGTTGTAAGGTGTGGAGAAAAATAGAAATTTCTCTACATTTCTATCATCTAAGTCCTAATCCCTACATGCAGCACAGTGTCGATTCATCTCAAGGGTGTTCCTTTCGGGTATGGTTTCCAGAATTTCACTGGAGAATTTTCTTTCGAGGATTCTTCTTTCTCTGGATTGGTTCTTGCAGGAACATTGTCTCTTTCAGCGATGGCCCCGCGTTTAATTCCACTGGCACTCCATACTTCTACTTGACCGAGCTGGATCCAACAGCGAGAGACTTGGCCGCGGACGACCGCTGCTCGTTCACGATCAGCGAGGCCTCGCTGGGAACTTGCGGCAAAGCGGATGCGGAGAGTCCAATTTGCTCCAAGATCACGCTCTCTGGAAAGGTATGGAATTCTCCTCTCTTTGATCTTGATGGGAAGATTTACTGCTCACTCGCTACTCATTCGCAGATGGTGAAACTGGTGAGCGATGGCGAGAAACGTTTCGCGGCCTCGGCTTTGTTCTCCAAGCACCATGAAATGCCCAGTGAGTTCTTTCCTATGATTTTAACAATGCATTCTCATCTTGGAGATTTCTAGATTGGCCAAAGAGTCACAACTTCCATTTCTACAAACTGGAAATCTTAGACATCTTTCTCATCGATTTCTTTGGTGGCCCAAAACCATTGACGATAGAAGACTATTACGCGCATGTTGTTCATAAATCCAATGGTCGCCATTATCAATGAAGAAAAAAAGGAAAAAGCTCGCGCCCTAACCCTAAAATTCCAAGGGCTCGCGGAGATGGAGGGCGCGAGCAAGGAATGTGGGGTGTGGAGCGAGGATGCGGTGCGCATTCTCATCGACAGCTACACCGCCAAGTTCGTGGAGCTCCAGAGGAGCAATCTGCGGCAGAAGGATTGGCAGGACATTCTCGCGCGCCTCTCGTCCTCGTGCGGCGAGGGCTACAGCTACGCGCGCTGCCGCAACAAGCTGGACGCGCTCAAGAAGAAATTCAAGATCATCAAGAGCAAGAGGGAGTTGGGCAGCGGCAGCAAAGGGGGAACGGGCGCAAAATGGAAGTGGTACGATCACATGGAGAAGCTCATGGATCGGAGCAGTGGCAGCGGCGGCGCCAGAGGGATCCCGGGAGGAATCGCGAGCGGGGAGAAGCTGGGGCCACTGGCAGCGGCGGACGATGCCACCGACGACGATGTTGAGGTGGGCGCTGCCAATTCCGGGGATGAAGAAGAAGTAGATGAAGGAGAAGAAGAAGAAGATGATGATGATGATGAAGAAGCTGAGGAAGCTCAAGAGGAAGACGAGGGAATGCCTCCTTCCAGCTTCCTGTTCGATCTTAGGCCGGGATTTCTCGACAGCGGCTTGAATCTCACGCTCAATGGGATCTGCGCCGCTGCCGCCACCGCTGCTGCTGGATCTGCCGACTTTCGATCGCCGCCCAGCCTGCCAAAGTTCTCGGACAAGACGATCAGGAAGCAGCACCACAGGGCATCGCCACTGAATCGACATGCGACAGAGGTGGTGGCGATGTTGATCCAGGCGGTGGAGAGGATCGAGAAGAACAGGCTAGAATTCGAGGAGAAGAAGCTAGAGCTGATGAGGGACATTGATCTCAAGAGGAACGAGACCAACCTTGAGATTGCCAAGTGCATCATTGATAGTTGCATGTCCAAGAGCTTTAGTTTCTAAGAGGAGGTCATTCCCTCACTACTTTCCATCTCTACAATCATGTATAAGGGTACCTCAAACCAAATGTAACCCCCAACATGTCCTCTTGCCATACATTGGAGATAGATGTTGTTTACAGCCTCATCAAAATCGCTGAGCATGATCACATCATCGTTCTTACGTTGAAGCATATGAATGTTAATTAAGATGTGGCCCTCCCTACCAAAGTATCCACCTGGCAAGAACCTTCCATTTGTAACAGCATTCCAAGCACGTTCTCTTGCGAGATTTATTTGCTCCACAGTGGGATTGACTTGAGCAACCTCGTAACATTTGAAATGAGCTTGATGAGAATATGATTCTGCACATAAGAATAAGTAGTATATCAAGTAAATGATAAACTCAATTTTGAATGATGCCATTGTATTGATTGTGCCAAAGCTGATGAGGTTTTTAAAGGAATTTAAGATCCAATAATTGAAAATGATTAATGTTTTTTATTCAATTATTGATTTGATTTTATACCTTTTTTTAAAAAAACATCTTCACTTATTGAGATAAAATAAATACTTTAGTACATCCTTTATTTTAATACGAATTTTAGATATACTATTAGTAGAAGCATAACATTAAACCCAATTATATAATACAGTGTAATTATATTTGTTCAAGTATTAGTAAACTTGGTTTAGCATCTATATTTAACTAGATAAATATAATCTTATATATTTTTTGTTGAGTATACTTGGCTTGACTTTTAATTCTTTTTTGCTCTATATTGCATTGGCTTTACAAAAACCATTATATATTGAGCATTAGTCCCTCAATATTGTTACATAATAACTTACCATGTCTACCAAACACCCTTATTATCATACCCTATATGTTGGTTTTATTTCAATTCTATTAACTATTTATAGAAAGTATCTATATTTACTAATGAAACATATCTACAAAATGTAGAAATTGTCTTAAATACAAAAGTGTTATTCTCCTGTCCAAATTTTCAATTTAACACTATTTTATATTTAGTAAGTTTTCATAATTGTCCCAAAGACTAACTTCTAGGATTGAGGTGAAAGCCTAAAATGTATACTGGTTGTGAGGGGTTCCAAATGTATAATAAGGATAGTAGAGTATGATGAACCAATTTGAGAAATAGTTTAACTATATATATATCCTTGTTTTGCATTTGATTTAGGTTTAAACATATACTATAGTAGTTAATTGAGTACCTATATCCTCTCATTAAGCCATTAGTATGCTAAAATAATGCAAAACTCTATTTGGCTCCATTTGACGTATTAGTGTTGGCGCTAGGATGATAGATGTTTTAGGAATGTTCTAATGTCACTTTGTGTTCCTGTCCCTTCACTCTTTATGATATACATTTATGAGTCATTTTGTATTTTAGTTTTTTCACTCCTTGTCTGCGAGTTTAGTTCCATCCCTTCGTTCAGTGACCTAAAGCTTTATTTAGCTTTGTTGCCTTTGGCCCATATGTCCAAGGGTTTAGATTCTATTCCATGGTTATTCTATGTATAAAGTAAAAGGTGAAAATCACATATACTACAGAATTGTGCCTTATATATATTAGTTGCTCCAAAACTAGGGCTATTACATCAGGAACAAAGGTTTAATAATAATGCTTTAATTTTTATTCTTGCAATTAATTGTTATATTGAACAACAATATCAATAGTAATTGTGAGAGATGTTAGATCTAGATGAGAAAGCATGAGATCTTTGACATTATCACAAGCAGGACGTGCGGTGCTTTGCGGCCCTGAGACCCTATCTCCGGTAATGTTAATATTATTTTTCTAACAAAGATAATTGTGAAGGAAGGTAACAATACCATCGAGAGTTATATGCTAAGGCAAGGAAGTGTCTCCTAAACCCTAAAAACTAACGAATCCCTAGGTCATGGGGTCAAACATATTGGTGTTTTTTCTTTAGGGTTTAAGCAAAAAGATCAAATCTCAAAAAACGTAATCACTCTTTTTAAAAGAAGGTAAAGAACTAGAAAAGAGGTCAATTAGGCTGTATGATGATTCAAAGTTTAAATTTGTTAATGAAGCCATAGAATTACCTATATACCATCAAACTTTGCTAATATATCAAATTTTGGCTCTAAATTAAGAAGCCATTATTAGTGTGGAACAATTTACTAGAAATGTGAGTGAAGTGTTATATTGGAGTACTCCAATGTTTAATATACTTTCATAGAGTATTAAGATTTGATTAAAGTTAAAGAAGAGCATATGAAGAAGCCATTAATATTAGAGTGTTTAAACTGTTAGAGAAAATGAAAGATGATGAAATAATTAATAAAATACTAAAAAATTAGAGAAGAAAAGATGGATTTATGTCAAACACTTTAAATAAAATCCCTCAAAACCCTATTTTTGATGGGGTAATGGAATTAATTATCATATATATATAAAATATTAAATTCAAATCCCATGAGTAAAGGTTTAAGGTTTGGTTCCCACCAAAGCTAAACTAGCATCTTTGTGGAAAGCAATTTATGGATTGACACAAAAAGGATTGACACATGGCAAGTGTTAGGACTGAGTCCAAGATGGAGTCTAAGGAGTTCAAGGAGTTCGAAAAAGAGTCTGAGAAAGAGTCTAATATAGCAGATCGTAGCAGCAAGGCTACTCTGCCAAAATGGAGTTAAAACTAAAGTTTGAGATGGAGTCTAAGAAGGAGTCTAAGATGGAGTCTGAGAAGGAGTCCGTAATGGAGTTTAAGATAAAGTTTGAAATGGAGGTTGAGACCGAGACCGAGACTGAGACTAAATCTAAGTCCAAGTCAAAGTTCAAGTCTAAGTCCAAGTCAGAGTTTGAGTTTAAGTTCGAGTCCGAATACTAATACAAATTGAAGGGTGAAAGCTTAAAACAATTAGTTAGGGGGGCTGCAAGGGGTTCCAAAAGTATAGTAAAGAGAATGTGGGGGTTAAGACTCTAGTGGAATCATTTTGGCCAAAAAAGGCTAATGTGATCTAAGAAGGTTACACCTATATAGTGGGTGATGATATAACCACATGGCTAGAGTGAATATGGATGGACTAATGGGGTAGTTTGGTGTGAAGTATTCAAAAGTCAACTTTATCTCCCTTAAGAAATCAAATGGTCAATGTTCCCAATCCAAATATAGGTGGCATTACCTATTTAGATACTTAGTATAGCTTATTGGAACCCCACTTTAACTGCATGGCTAAGGCACCTAAAGGCAGAAGGTGGGGAAGTACCTATGAGGTTTGTGTTGGGCTGTAGTGTTTCGAAATATCATCCTAAAGTCCTAGATTGTAGAAAGAAAAAAGAATAGTTTTTTTGTATAGTGACCAAGGATATATTCACATAACTATAGGTTCTCCATGATCTTTAGAATAAAGATTAATTGGGATAGGATAACTTAAACAATTTGGATAAGAAATTTGGATGCATATGACAAAGTAAATATTCCTTCATTTTGGTATATTGGGAATCATCCTCACATATATATTTTTTCTTATAACAACCCCTTGGCAGTGATTAAGATCTCAAATGACTAGGAGGCATAATTTCAATCCCATGCATTTTTACATATCACATAGAGGTATATATATTTAGTAAATGCATTAAGGATATTAATTTTGGTTGATTAATCTTTTTTCATGATTATTTTCTAATGTATAATCTTCTCTCTTCTACTATAGGATGTTTTTTTGCTCTTGTTAAGAACATTTATTTCCCATTGGGAACTGCTAAACATATATTTATGGGAAGGTCCTTATTTATGCATGTTGTAAGGTAAAGATTTAGAGTAAGTCATTCCTTTCTCTCTCTTTAGTGTGTTATTTTTTATTTATTTATTTTGTTAAAGCTCTTGTTACATTTGCTTAGTGATTCTGATTAGTTTCACAAGTGTCTTGGACTTTGATTCCTTTGCCCAAAAAGCCCACTATATACTAATTGCATATATCACTTGCGAGGACAAGGTTTTTATTAAGGCCCTAGATTTATAAAAAATAATTTACCTTTTTTAGTATATTTAAAGAAAATTAAATAATACATTTCAACATAGGAGACCCCCCTAAAGGAAA